TATATATATATATAACAAACTAAAGAAACTATATGGAGAATAAAATATGTTAGTAATTGAAAGAGAATTAAATCATGTATAATAATTTTTACTAAAATGTTAAATTATAATAATAAATAATTATTAACAACAAGTTTTTGTTTCTAGAGCAGTCCAGGACCCTCCTTCAGTGCAACCTTTTTTTAATGCACCTTTGGCTTTTAAAAACAAAAAGAGAAAAAAAAAACAATAGCATGGTATTCAGAGATACAAATCTATTATGGTATTATCATTGGCTTTTAGGCTTTTTTTTAATATCACTCACCTTTCCATTGAGACTGGAAACTCCTGCAGAACAAACACAGCATTGATCATCAACAACTCAATCAATCATCAATCAATCAATCAATCAATCAATCATCTGAAATCAGACCTTCAGAAAGCAGACGTCACTGGCTTTCATCATCTCCTCCGTGTCTTTGATTGTGTGTGAAAGAGCTGAGATGTGTCTGTTCATCTCCTCCAGCTTCTCCTTCATCATCTGCTGCTTCTGCTCCTCTTCCTCCCTCAGTGCAGTGATTGCAGCTTCTTCTTCATCTCTGAGAAAGTGATGAATCTTCTCAAACTCCTCTTTAATCTGACGCTCTGTGTGCTCAGCTTGAGACTGAAATCACATCACATTCACTTCAGTCAGCTCTGCATTAACACTCACGGAGTCACTCCATTAATGTCCATCATAATCTCTGTTAATGTTTGAGTCTTTACTCAATATCCTCACCTTGATGTGTTGAACAAATCAGTAATAAAGGAGAAAGTGATTAAAAAGTGGCAACAGTATTGGGATAATGAGACTAAAGGGAGACATTTATATGCAATACAAAAGAAAGTGGGAAAAGGTAGAAAAAGTGGGAGAAATAGGAGGGAGGAAAGTATAATTACAAGACTAAGAATGGGACATACAGGTTTGAATAAAACATTACATTTAATATCTAAACATCCAACGGGATTGTGTGAGAAATGTGGACAGAGTGAAACTGTAGAACATGTGATTATTAATTGTAAGGGTTATGATGAAGAAAGAGAAGTGCTAAGAGAAGAAGTATGGAAGAATGAAGGAAAGGAGTTAACATTAAAGAATATATTAAACTCAGATATAGGAAATAGTACGGTAAATGTTGTTTCAGTTTCTGAATAATACAGGTTTAATGAAGAGAATGTAGGATAAGTATACTGTATATAGAGAGGTAGAAGATGCTGATATAGTGTGGGTAGAAGAGAAAGTATATCTGAAGGTTAAATAAGGATACAGAGGGATATTGGGATTTAAAGGGAACTAGGGTGGAAACTGGAAGAGCTGAACACGCAGCGCCAGTGTTTTTATTGTAGCTTCTTCTTCATCTCTGAGAAACTGATGAAGCTTCTCAAACTCCTCTTTAATCTGACGCTCTGTGTGCTCAGCTTGAGACTGAAATCGCATCACATTCACTTCAGTCAGCTCTGCATTAACACTCACTCCAATAATGTCCATCATAAACTCTGTGAATGTTTGACTCTCAATATCCTCACCTTGATGTGTTGAACTGTTTTATCACACTCTGCTTTCATTTCTTCTGCATGTTTGAGCTTGTTTTGTAAAGATGTCAGTGCTGTATTCAGTTCCTCCTACAAGTTAAGATGGAAATGTGAAACTTTAAGTAGCTAATAAATGTAAACTATTTTTAGTTTTTCCATATGATTTGCTAAATGTATTTATATTTTATAAAAGTCATCCTCGGGAATCAGTCCCAGTTGTGCATGAAAATTTCAGTACAGATTTTTTTTTTCAATTCGTAAAGGATGAACAGTCAGCATTCTTGTGTCAAAACAATATTTGATCAGTAAAAATGATCCAAGCTTGGCAATGCTTAGTAAGCTTCTATTTGATCCATGACTTAATGGATGTCAGAAGGTTAAAATCTTTGCTTTCAAGAAGGAAATGAATAGGAATAAACAGAAGGCGAAGGACTAAGATTCACGAATTCTGCGGTTTCTCAGAAATTCTGTAAAATATTTCAGAAATGTGTCTCACCTTGTGAGATGAAAGAACTTCACTGATGGGTCTGAATGTGTGATTGACGTGTTTCTCTGAGTCTCTGCACACTAAACACACCGGCTGTTTGTCCTCCAGACAGAAGAGTTTGAGTTTCTCACTGTGTAAACTGCAGATCTCCTCAGATCCTGATGAGCGCCTCTCGTTTCGCTCCTTTATCAGTGAATCACACAAGTTTTTTAACGCTAGAATACTCAGAGGTTCTTGTTTGAGAGAGATAGAGGAAATGTTTCTGATCCAAGCTACCTGATGATGGTAGCAATGCACTGTTAAGTGCGGTTGCCAGTAAAATAAAGAAGAGGAAGAAGACAGTTTTGATCAGGCAGGATTTTAGACAGCTGACGCATTTAAAAAAATAAGGAAATTGATAAGTTAAAATCTTTGCTTTCAAGAAGGAAATGAATAGGAATAAACAGAAGGCGAAGGACTAAGACAAATTCTGCAGTTTCTCAGAAATTCTCTAAACTATTTCAGAAATGTGTCTCACCTTGTGAGATGAAAGAACTTCACTGATTATTAATCACATTGTCTGTGTTCGCCAGAGCTAATTTGCTAAAATTGTGGAAGGTGAGTGCTAGTAAATGGGATTACCAAATCAGACAAATCAGCTGTTGAAATTAAATTTGTAAATATGTCAAAAGAATCAAGTCTTAGCTTGTTGTGTTGTACGGTTTTCTCAAACTCTCCTTTAATGTTTTCTATAATTTTATTGGGTAAGAACATCAGTGATAGTGCTCCTCCTAGAATTTTAAATTCAAAATCTAAGACATCAGAGATTTCTGTAATATGTTCATTTATATAAAACACATAAGTAAACTGGTACTGAGAAATTTGCATGTTTATGACAAGCTTTATTCCTCAGAAATAAATCTCTTTTACCTTATACGATGGAACAGCTTCACTGATGGGTCTGAATGTGTGTTTGTCGTGTTGTTGTGAAGTATCACACTCCACACACACCGGCTGTTTGTCCTCCAGACAGAAGAGTTTGAGTTTCTCACTGTGTAAACTGCAGATCTCCTCAGATCCTGATGAGCGCCTCTCGTTTCGCTCCTTTATCAGTGAATCACACAAGTTTTTTAACGCTAGATTACATGGAGGCAGGTCTTTTGACGATCTTCTCCTGCAGACAGGACACTCCTGAGTATCCCTGGTTTTCCAGAATTGTTGAAGACACTCTTTACAGAAACTGTGATTGCAGGACAGAATAACAGGATCTTTGAAGATTTCACAGCAAAGATATTTATTGGGATATGAATTTAATAGTGATAGAACAGGATATAGGATTTTATTTCATTTTTATATAGCACAGGACTAGATAAAAGAATAGAATATAAAATATGCTCTGTTTCGGTTTGGAGTTTAAGGGGTTCAGTGTGGAGGACGGAGGGGCTGAACACGCAACGCCAACCGATACCTGGACTCTTGATGGCTTCAGAGTTGAGACAGAACAACTAATATAATAAAAGAAAATCCTTATTGCATAATAGCAAAGTAGGTGGCGATATGCGCAAAGATTGCAACTCTGATTCTCCAGAACTGTTGAAGACACTCTTGACAGAAACTGTGACTGCAGGACAGAAGAACAGGATCCTTGAAGATTTCACAGCAAACGGGACAAGAAAGCTCTCCCACAGATTTTGAATCCATTTCCTCTTCTTCTGCAACAATCTACAATTTACTTTCACTTTCTGAACTTTACTTTGAAAAGTAAATAACAATTATAACTACAATCAAAATCTATTTTGTGCAACAAACTTCTCAAAAAATCCTCACTTATAGTGTCCTCCTTTGATGCACAGCACTCTTTTTAGCTTTCAGTAAAGGAGAAATAATAACTCATTTCCTGGGTAAAAGTTGTGAGAGGGTGGAGTTTCTTATTAGACCTCGGACCATTTGAACACAGACTGAATTTATAATTTTATTTTAACTTTATTTGTGCTTTCATCTCCTGGACTCAGTGAACTGGAAATATATATA